GGCATTGTCTATAAAGGGGTGATGCCAAGTGGAGACCATGTCGCCGTCAAAAGGCTGCCAGCGATGAGCCGTGGATCGTCCCACGACCATGGATTCAACGCTGAGATACGAACTCTTGGGAGGATTCGACACCGACATATCGTTAGACTATTGGGGTTTTGTTCAAACCATGAGACTAATCTTTTGATTTATGAGTATATGCCTAATGGGAGCTTGGGGGAAGTTCTTCATGGCAAAAAAGGGGGTCACCTTCAATGGGATACAAGGTACAAGATTGCTATTGAAGCCGCTAAAGGGCTTTGCTATCTCCACCACGATTGCTCGCCACTCATTGTTCATCGCGATGTGAAATCAAACAACATACTTCTTGACACTAATTTTGAAGCTCATGTCGCTGATTTTGGTCTGGCCAAGTTCTTACAGGATTCCGGCACTTCTGAGTGCATGTCTGCTATTGCTGGTTCTTATGGATATATTGCCCCAGGTATGATTCCAAGCTTGAAACTTTATGTCAATCATTTATATGCAGCAGGCCAAGAAGCAACCTTCTTTTCCTAATATTATTAAAGGACTCGAAATTTGAATCTTCAATCTTGTTTTGAAGTGTTTTAGCCTTATTTTTCTATGACTAGCATGAATATATGATCTGTAGTTTGACTTGGGAGCTTGATATTGAACTGAAGAATGTGGCTAAATTCTGTGTCATGAGAACATTAATGGTGATCATCTTTGCAAGTCAATGAATGAATCATAATGCTTTTGACTGCATCCAAAGTTCTCTTCATTGTTTAACCATTATGGATTGCTTTCCATTTCAAGTCCAAAGTTGGACGATGAATGGTGTGAAAATTGTTACTTTTCTGGAAGGTAACGCCTTCAATGGTTCTGATTCTTGAGATATTTCTGATCCTTTTTCTTCCTTCCAGAATATGCCTACACACTAAAAGTCGACGAGAAGAGTGATGTATATAGCTTTGGAGTCGTCTTATTGGAGCTTGTTAGTGGAAGAAAATCGGTCGGAGAATTTGGTGATGGTGTCGACATAGTTCAATGGGTTAGAAAAATGACAGACTCAAACAAGGAAGAGGTAGTGAAAATCCTTGATCCAAGGCTCTCCTCCATTCCTCGCCACGAAGTGATGCACGTCTTCTACGTCGCAATGCTGTGCGTTGAGGAACAGGCGGTAGAGCGCCCGACAATGCGAGAAGTGATCCAAATCCTATTGGAGATTCCACAGCCACCATGTTCAAAACGGGAAGACTCAACACTCCCCAACTCCTCACCACCACCAACACCAGCATTAGCCGCCGCATTAGACATTCAAACAACAGGACCCGAGAACCAAAAAGACCAGCAGCAGCAGCAGCAGCCGCCAGCAGATCTTCTTAGCACTTGAACACAACTGGGTTGGGGTTGGTAGTGTCTACTGTCTATCATTAAAAGAAAAGAAAACAGCTTAGGCTCTCTTGTAGCTGCGATGTCGTTAATTATCTTTTGGGGGAGGAGGGGATTAAGGTTTACGGTAGTAATGTTGTTCAAAGGTTTCTTCTTTTCTCATTAATTTTCGCTAATTTTTCCGGACAGAGGAAATCAAGAAAGGTATGCACTGGGTGGGTGTCAGAACAAGAAGACTGAAAGTGGTGGGGAACCCAATTGAAAATTTGGAAACTCATTCTCTAAGTACACCAAAATATTCTTTAACAAATAACATTAAAAACAATCATATCTTTTCTTTTCTCTTTTGATTTTGGTTTTGATGACCTCGAAAATAGCACTTCCAAAAAAAGATGGCTTTTTTCACGGTAATTGAAGCGATTGTTGAATACGAAGCAACCCACATGGGTGGTGGAGATGTCTATTATTAATATTTCTACCTTACAATAAAAAATATCCACGTTATCTGCGTTACATTTAATACAAGGTCAACTGACACCAAATATATATATACTCCATTTAAATTGGCATATCTTCTCAGCTTCTGACGAAGGAAACTCCCTTCTCAATGCTCCCTCCCAACTCTTTCTTCGCTTTCTCCAATCCAATCCTGTCAAAATCAATACTCAATCGAGATTCAAGCTCATTCTTGTTCAACAACTTCGCATTTCGGCGTACCTTTCATACTCATTTAGTGGCCCAAGCCCGTACACTTCTTCCATCCCATTGCGACCCAGTCGTACTTTTGATGCAAAGAATGGAAGTTCAGTCACCTGTACCAAGCAAACATATAACCTCAGCTCAACATTATTCAAATTCCTGAAAAGGAATAGGCCAATGACTTGTACAAAACATGCATACCTGAGAAGCCACGAACGCGCATTCCTCAACACCAGCATCTCCTCTTAAGCCCCTCAGGCATGCATCTGCAAACTTAACAGCCGCATACGCCTACACATTTTTACCATACATTAGTCAATATAGCATTTCTGGTTACCCTTCGTACTTTTTCCTTCTATTTTCTACACTTATGGTACCTAAACAATTTAACCCATTAGATGATGAAAAGGGTTGGAAAAAAACCGACCATGGAGAGAGTTGCTGAACCAGCTCCTGCTTTGGCCTGGAGACAGTGTCAAATTGGTATAATAAGCTATTGTGATAGTGATGATAAGAATACAGCACAATGGATTCAATAGTAATAGCACGATTCCACCGATTTTAAAACTCGTCCGCGAGGAAGAGGTTTCCACACCCTTATAAAGAATGTTTTGTTCTCCTTTGTAACTGATGTGGGATCAACTGGTCGTAGCACATATCTGAGTACAACAAACAAATGAATTCTTTACCTCCACAACTTCTGTTCCACCATTTTGAATCCTATCAGTCAGGTAAATAGTCTCTTCTTGTGTGAAAGAACTTGGAGGCTTGACCTATACACAAAAACACAACCAGAAATGTAAATAAACCAATTCAAGGACATCATGTACTTTAATCAAATCAGAAACCAGTACAAACCTGAGATAGAAGGGGCAAAATGGTTACACCAGCATGACCGCCAACAACTGGAACATCAACATCCCGAGGATCAAGACCCAATACTTCTGCCTGCAAAAGACAGAATAACATGAAAACAGGACATAAGTTAGTGAAGATAGACAGCCATGATCTAATAAAAGGGAACGAGACTAGTGGACTATGGCATACCACAAATGTATTGGCTCTGACGACGTCGAGCATCGTAACTCCCAGAAGTCGATTTGGATCATAAGTTCCAGCCTTCTTGAAAACTTCAGCTGCAATGGGCACGGTGGAGTTCACAGGATTACTGATCAGATTGACAATGGCTCTTGGACAACTCTTTGCAATCCCTTCACACAGAGTCCTAACAATTCCTGCATTGATTTTGAATAGATCATCCCTTGTCATTCCTGGTTTTCGAGGAACCCCTGCAGGGATAATAACAAGATCCATGCCAGTAAGCGCAGCCTCCAACTGCTGCTGCCCCAAGAATCCACGCACCTACATTTTCAGTAATATTCTCAATATGCTATCCATTTCAATTCCCCACTTCAAATGCGAATAGACGACAGTTTCCTCACAGTCTCTTGAATCTCTTAAAACTCATATCCCATAATACGTTATCATTCCAATTTGTACGAAACAAAAACCCAATAGAATACAGACAAAAAAAGAAAAAACTCACCACAGCACCAGTATCCATATGGCTAATATCAGCGGTGACGCCAGGGGCATTAACTACATCATAAAGATGTAGAATAGAAACCAGAGGATTCATCTTCATCAACATCGCAAGGGGCTGGCCAATGCCACCGGCAGCCCCAAGTATTGCGACCTTGAACCCGGGAGCTCCGCCTTTCCCCCGGCAATTGGCCCTCTTCAAAGCTGCTGAACTCTCCTCCATCTATCCGAGCACAACCAGAATCAAAGCAAATAAGGGATAAAAACCTGAGTAATGGAGCAAGTACGATCGCTTAATCCACAACTAAATCCCATATTCCCAGATGGGTCATTGGGTTACAACGCCACGCTTCCAATTACACAGTGACCCGTAAAAAGTATACCAAAGAGAAGTGAAATTTAGAAGGCAGAGAGAGTGAGAACCTGAGGGTTGGGAGGATGAAGATGCGAAGAGATTCGAGCAATGCGCTGGTTAACATCCGGAATTGGCTGCATAACTACGTCCCTTAACAGAAACCAAACCCACCCGCTTCAAGATCAGAACCCTCTCAGAACTAAGCGCTAGGAAGAGGAAATTGCTTGGTTGGGGTAATCTTATCTTACCCAAATTGCTTACACGTGTCAAAGACCCACTTGCTGGACCCCACTTACTTCCTTTAATTTTAAAAAATATTAATTAGAAAACAAGTTGAGGAACAAAATATAATCACAAAACAGCGGAATATAGTAAATTCAATTTTGAAAATAAGGAACACGTTTGAAATGTAAGTTTTTTATCCCTCACTACAAACAACTCTAACTAATACTGTCTCTTATTTTTCTGTAATCAGATTTTATTTCCTTTTCTTTCTATATTTTCACATTTTTTTTTTGTTTCTAACACGTCTGTTTTGTTTTATAAAAATTGATTGTAAATATCAGTTGGAAATTATATTATAAGAATTAATTAAAATACAGAAGTTTAGATTTTGTACCAAATTAAACCACCAATTTAGAGACGATAACCCTACCTAATTAAACTTATTTAAGAAGCCCGTTTCCATCTCCTTTCATCGCTCTCCACCGTGGTTGGTAAACCTATAAGGCAATGGAAATGGTTAACTAATTACCAATTAAAAAAACCTGTGGGTGATTTTATTGTCGTAAATAAATTTTAATTTCTTCTTATTTATGACAATGAATCACAATTGTAATCTCCTCTTTCGTCTATGTAAATTACATATAGCTGTGTTTTGATTGGAAGCATGCTTCAAAACATCTTATCCGACCACAATATTGAAAGGAAAAACACAACGACATTCTAATTCTTAATCATCGTAAGCCTCAAGCTATCTTTTGTTTTTTTTCACAATTTCTATGTTTATTTTTTTTTTTTTTTTTTTCCCATGTGTTTCAAAAAATCTCGTTTGTTTGGTTTTATTAGCATTTGTAATTGAATTTGGAGTGTGCATTTGAGCTGGCTGGCTTATTTGGAATGAAACCCCAACACACGATGCTTTTTTCCTTTTTTGCAAACTCACACGAACTTCGCCTATAAACTTGCATGTGAAATCCATGAAATCTCTCGTCTGTACTTTATAAATTAAAAACCCCTTTTGATTTAATCCATAAAACGCGTTGAAGAAGGAGAAAGGGTTGGATATGAAAAGGGCCCTTCACCGCCCACATCGAGCCCCGATGCCTTTCTCTGTCTATATAAATCAAACCTTTCTTTTCTTTCTTCTTCTTCTTCTTCTTCTTCTTCTTGTGTAGATGGGGATCGACATAATCAGGTGGGTAATCACTGAACTTCTTTTGTTTTTGGGTTATTATTTCATATATGTTTCTCTCTCAATCTCTCATCAGTGCAATGTGAACTCTCGACATTAGAGGAAAAGGGAACAAACATGGCAGACAGGAGCAAGCCAGGCAGTACTACTGTGGAAGCTACAACAACGACAGCAACAACAAGGGTTCGTGATTCAAAGTTTCAGGCCATTCTGGCTGATGATCTTGGAAGAAGAATCTGATTTATTTTTTTTTCATAATTAATTTGGTAATTTCATCGAAGTTTATTTATGGTTGGGTTATGAATATCATACATTCATGAAATATTGTTGCGTTTCATATTGGAAAAGACGATAGCGTAGAGAGAGGAGAAAGGGATTGGTTCGGTTTTGTGAATTGTGTCTGCCAGTATGATTTCAAAAACAAAAAGAAAAAGAAAATTTACTTGTGATCCAAGCAAGGAGAATCTGTTTTTTATTTTTTATAAGACTATTAATTAATACATCAATGTTATACTTAAAAATAAATTTTAAATTAAGTATTGATATAGTAGTAATTATATACATTATTAAAATTGATTTAAATCCCACCAACGATAAAAGTAAAGCCACGTCCTACAGTCATATGTTGAGAGACACAATAATGTAACCACGGAGAGCTAACTATGGTTAAACTCCCACGTGCCGCTCGTGCAGTACCACGGGTACCCCTACGCCTCTTCCCCTCGCCACATCCAACTCCTACTTTTTCCTGCTATAAACTATAAACTGTCCTGCGTACGGTTCCCCCCGACACCCATTTCCGATCCTTTGGAGTAGCGTCTTCATAAACGCTCCTCTCTTCCTTTTCCATTTTCCTCCTCTTCTTCTAGATTCTGTTCCATTTTATCTCCCGTTTCAAAGCCACAATGAGAGAATGCATCTCCGTGCACATTGGTCAGGCCGGGATTCAGGTCGGCAATGCCTGCTGGGAACTTTACTGCTTGGAGCATGGCATTCAGGTTGCTGGTTCCCACCTCTTTTTTAGTTTTTAAGCTTCTACTTCCATGCGTTCTGATTTTGTCAATGCCTCTTTCGTTGATCTCCTCGTTGTTTGTTGGTTTAAGTGGTTGTTTAGAGATGGTTGGTGTTATCTGCGAGTTAATGTCGAGATCTAGGGTTTGTTGTGTGAGTTTATCGCAGTTTCCAGATCTGGTGTTCTTTTGTCTCCTAATAGGTGTAACAGAGGTCTTTACTGGAGAATACGTCGACGTGCCTGATCTAAGTAGATCGACTACATTTCGTTTTGATATCAACCTCCTGGAACCCCACTTTGAACTTCTGTCCAGGTCGTCGCATATTTTGGTTGCGTGGTTTCTTTCATATTCGAATGTGTCTGGCTTTTTAGGGACATTTGAATGTACTTTCAACACAACTGATAACTGTCTTCTTTGAGCTGGCTAATGAATTTTTTAAAGGTGTTCGTTGAATAAATGTGCTTCTAAAGCATTCCAGTCCTGTTCTGCGGTTGGGTATTTCATCCGATTTCTATTTCATGAAGGCTTTCTACATCTTATGGACTCTGCATTAGCGGCCCTGTCAATGGGAAATAAGTTTTGGGATTGACTTAATGTGGGATCTGGAATGGTTCCTTAGTCAATCACACGGAGAACGCAAATACTTTATTGAACTTGGGAATTAGTGTAGCATGTTCTGCTTAGTGAATAGGATTTTTTTTTCTTCACATAATAGTTCTGCGTTTTAATTTATAATATTGGCCATGCAAATTTTCTTGTATTTCTGACGAATGGTATTTTTCATGTGATTTACGAGCATCATTCTAAGGAAATGTAAATCACTGTGAATTGGTGGGGGTGTGAAAGTGTTGATCTGATCTGTAAACGTGTCTCTATTTGCATTTACAGTTGTGAAATGTAAATCACTGTGAAACTTGCAAATGTGTACTACTGAAATCTGAATGTCTCTTACCTGTCTCCCTTGCAGCCCGATGGACAGATGCCTAGCGACAAGACAGTTGGTGGGGGTGATGACGCCTTCAACACTTTCTTCAGTGAGACTGGTGCTGGAAAACATGTACCTCGTGCTGTTTTTGTAGATCTTGAGCCAACAGTCATTGATGAAGTCAGGACTGGGACGTACCGCCAACTCTTCCACCCTGAACAGCTCATTAGTGGCAAGGAAGATGCAGCGAACAATTTTGCTCGTGGCCACTATACGAGTAATTATTTTTTTTTTTTTTTTTGCAAGTTAATTCCTGTTAACTGCCCCCTGTTTTAACACATTTCTCCTTTTCTATTACAGTTGGTAAAGAGATTGTTGATCTCTGCTTGGATCGTATAACAAAACTTGCGGACAACTGTACTGGTCTTCAAGGTTTCCTCGTTTTCAATGCTGTTGGTGGAGGAACGGGTTCTGGTCTTGGATCCCTTCTACTGGAACGTCTTTCCGTGGACTATGGAAAGAAATCCAAGCTTGGATTTACTGTTTATCCCTCACCTCAGGTGTCAACATCTGTAGTTGAGCCCTACAACAGTGTCCTTTCAACCCATTCGCTCTTGGAGCACACTGATGTTGCAGTGCTCCTTGATAACGAGGCCATCTATGATATCTGTAGGCGCTCCCTTGACATTGATCGCCCGACCTACCAGAACCTCAACCGCTTGATTTCTCAAGTACACATTTCATCCATTCCTACCTACCCACACCCCCGTTTGGATCATTTCCTGATCTTTTATTTTTATATCTAAATAATGGGAAATCGATTTTCTAAATATTTATATAATGTTAAATTTCCAGGTGATTTCATCTCTGACTGCATCTCTGAGGTTTGATGGTGCCTTGAATGTGGACGTAACTGAATTCCAGACAAATCTGGTCCCATACCCTAGGATTCATTTCATGCTTTCATCATATGCTCCTGTGATTTCAGCCGAGAAGGCCTACCATGAGCAACTCTCTGTTGCGGAGATCACCAACAGTGCATTTGAGCCCTCATCCATGATGGCCAAGTGTGACCCCCGCCATGGAAAATACATGGCCTGCTGTTTGATGTACAGAGGCGATGTGGTTCCAAAGGATGTCAACGCAGCGGTGGCTACCATAAAGACCAAACGAACCATCCAATTTGTTGACTGGTGCCCAACAGGATTCAAGTGTGGTATCAACTACCAGCCACCAACTGTTGTTCCAGGCGGGGATTTGGCCAGGGTTCAGAGAGCTGTATGCATGATCTCCAACTCCACAAGTGTTGCCGAGGTCTTCTCTCGAATTGACCACAAATTTGATCTCATGTATGCAAAGAGGGCTTTCGTACACTGGTATGTGGGTGAGGGAATGGAAGAAGGTGAGTTCTCTGAAGCCAGGGAGGACCTGGCTGCCTTGGAGAAGGACTATGAGGAGGTGGGTGCTGAGGCTGAGGACGATGAAGATGAGGAGGGAGAAGACTACTAAACTAAGTTTGAAAGAAGTTTGCATATGTGCTGTTGCTATTATGTGCTTCACTTTGCGGTTGACTATATTTGCAAATGTGTCCTCTCGAGTTGTTGATGCAGCTCATCGGCTGTGTTGCTGCTGCTTATTTGTAAGCCTACTTTACCGGTGGTTGTATGAATAAAAGCTTTACTACAAAACTGAGTGAGTGCCTTTCATTTCTTGCATTGATGATATGTTTTTTCACTGCAAATCATAGTTTGCTTTACAAATAATTCCGACTCTCTTGTTTTTGTTTGGTAAAGCCAAGTTGACTGGAAGTTTGACCAGGCGGTCCTCGAGGCAAATACGTTAATTTCCACGCCACTTAGATCTTCTCACTTCTGTTTTCCAATAATATTCCCTTTCTCGTGTGGGTACAATATATTTCAATTTATTGTGAATAGGTTTTTAAGGTTAAAAGTTTCTGGAAGATGAGACAAGAAGAACGACACCTCATAGAAAGCCGCACATTTCTTCTTCAGGTGCCATTCACTTGGAACGGGTCAGCAATTCAATGCATCCCGTGCCTCTGCGTCTATCTAGTCTATACCATTTTTGTTTCCAAAATACAATTTAATTCACTCCATTTCCATCTTTATTTGAACTTACATTATTATTATAACCATAAAGTAATCTGGTGCAATCACCACCAAATAAAAAAAAAAAAAAAAAAGGNGCAATCACCACCAAAAAAAAAAAAAAAAAAAAAAGGCAGAAAGAGATGGAAATTCTGTAATATATTCCCTTCACGTTCGTCTCTCAGTAACCTCGAACTTTAATTGCTTCCGTCTCTCTTTCCAGCCCTTCGCATATTCCTTTTTTAATTCAGCTCAAGTGATGGCATTAGGCATTCGTATAGGAAGCTTATAGGCCTTGCTTAAAGCTAAAGAACTTGCTTTACCTTTTAGATTCTCAACTCCCACTAGCTGTTTTCTTTTCCGATGCGATGGAAAAGGAAGATGAACTCAAGTGTGCTTCTACCGCCAATCTTCAACACCACCCTAATGGAGTTTCCGTATGTTTCTTCCTATTTTTCCTTCATTTTTCTGAAATGGGTTTCGATGTTCTCGGTCGTTTTCTCATTCCTCCCAGCCCCTTTTGATTGATTTCATCAGCCCGACCCTCACTAGAAAAGCGATGGGAATAGTGAAAGTTTGTGGGGTTTCGCTTTTCTTTTTCGATCTTTTGTGTTTGATTTCTTCTTGTATTTAGAGATTGCATTATGCTAATTAGAAATACCACTGTTGCTACAGCGCAAGAATGAGAAAAGCGTATTTGATGGGACAGATTCAGCAAAAAACGCCAAATCTGGATGCCAGTTTTTAGAGAATGCAGCTCCCCAAAATCAGCAGTACACTGAGCTTCTTCAAAGGGCACTCAACCCTCGACATGCAGGGGAAAAATCTTCATTGCCAGCCGCCCCCGCCGCCGTGAATGAGCGGCTCCAGCCACCCGAAAATCTGCCCAAATTTCAGCACCAGCTCATCCCGCCGCCGCAGCCGCAGCCACAGCAGTTTGTCCTTTCATCACAACCCTTTTGGGTACAACCGCAGTCGAGCATTTCCCTTGGAGCAACTGAAGGTAGCTGGCAAACTCCGGCGGCGTTTGGCGCTGGAGCCTCGCCGAGATGTCAACCCCAAGCTCCTAATTTCTGCTACCCTGTTGGTTATCCAACATACCCTGGGTTTCAAGGTGAGTTTCACTTTCAGAACTGTTTGGTTTTGTAATTCTGTCGAGGTTATTTATTCGATCAATGAGTTCATGTTGTTTACCAAATTTTGTGGGTATTTCTTTTTTCAAACCTTGTGATTGAATGTCATTCCCTAGTAATCAGTTCAAGTTTTTTGAAATTTGGGTTTGAACTTAATAACAGGTTCCTGGGATGCTTCAATTTGGTGGGGTCAAACACCACCATTACTGTTCCCCGGATTGTCCAATTATCCAAGAGCATCATATGGTTTTGCCTCTTCTCAATCTTGCCCGATGCCAATTCCTAGTTGTGTAGCATCTTC